TTGAATTTGAGATCCGTAATTGAGTTCTATGTGACTTTGCTTGATGAGTGGGTCTTTGAACTTGGACAACATTTTGCATTTTTGCGAGATAACATGTGGCGTCGATCCGCTTCAATTAAATACGTTCTTTCTTAATAGCATGTCTTTTCTAGTCATTTGGTAAGCGAGGCTATGATGATAAGCGATGCCATGTGTTGTGTGTGCGGTCGGTGTCGAATACGATGGCGGCGAGGGCGGTTGATGAGAAGCGAAGGCGCCAGCGGCGGACTCATGGAACCCGCATTCAAAGACAGGGCTCGAGGACTAATATCGAACAATGGAAGGAGATGGGTTGGCAAGGAAAGACCCATCTCTGATTTTAGGTATTACAGATTTCTCTCTTTTTTTTGGCTGCTACTTGTTACCTGTTTTCTCAAAAGTAACCTTTAGTTAAACCTAGAGATTTGAGATGGATGATCCTTTGTTGTGTTGGAGAATCTATTGTACTTTGCTAGGAACTATCCAGTGAGTGCGAATCTTTGTTTTAGCAATATGAGGTACTTGCTGTTGCTTTTTTACAACATAGATGATCTGTTTTGCACAGACTTCAGTTGTTATGTTGCTGTTGTATTTTAATTCCAATACAATTAAGATCATTTTCTTTGTATTTTAATTCCAATGTTCACTTGTGTTGAAGCCTCAAAAGATGAGATGTAATTCATATTTGAACCGGTACGCATTTTGTGAAAACTGGTTTTTACTCTCTTCATTTGGCTTGCAGGTCAAAAGGTCGTTGAGCCAGTTTACTCTCCTCATATGCCTTTCGCTGGCTCTCTGGCTATATGCATATTAGAGGAGCTGCTTATTTCATTATTTGCATGAAGCTCGAGAATGGTGAGCTTTCTCTTCTCACCTTTTTTGTCAGGTATAGCACCATCAGTTCAGTATACAATATGGGTGAGAACAGTTGCATTGATCGATGCGTTTCAAAATATTAGCAGCCATGTTTGTTGATACCCTTTCTCTTTGGCCTTTGCGGATTCATTTTATGCTTATTCCTAGACTATGGATTATTGATGGGCATGTTTGTTGATACCGTTTCTGAAGAGATGAGATACACTTGATGTGGTCTACTTGAATCTGCAAAAGTTGATCTCATATATTTTCCTTTCATAGTCAGAATTTGTGCATATATGAAAAAGTTATTTAATGTGTTCCGTAGCGTTAGCACGGGCAATATACTAGTTTTGGATAGTAGTAGTGTTTTCCCCTTGCAAGGGAATCTGTATATGTGGATTTCATTTGCTATCCGCAAAGGGGATCTCTGCTGCCTGCTGCTGTGTGCATTTAGATCTTCTAAATGAAAAATGATATCTTTAATTTGTGTCTATACTTTACCTGTTGATATCACACTGCATATACTGAGATAGGAGCTGTGATAGGAAACTTGAGATAGGAGCTGGTGACATATGTACAGTTAGTAGGCAAAAAATGACCTGACCTTGAGATAGGAGCTGTTCTCATTTGCAATTCCTTTGAGTTCATATTTAGTTTAAATGGCAGTTCTGAACTTTTTGTGCTCATGAAAATGTACTGTTTGTCTGTTTCCGTCCATATATTGATTACATGTACTGTTTCTTAGCTTATTCATTTCATTTACTGTTTCTTAGCTTATTCAATTTTTTCTAAACACTAGTCTGAAAACATATTATTCCTTGCTTCTGATGCATGACTCCATTTAATTTCAGAAAAGGCAACCCAAGTTGTTTAATGTTTAGCATCAGACAATGGCTCTATGAATTCAGAGTGCTGGAGAAGCATCAAGGTATGGAGGAGTGAAGATTTAGTTGGAGGCTAAGTTGAAGGTAATTTATCTAGCTGTCATTTTTCTCGAGTTGCATCTTGTGTAAGCCAGTTGGATGCATGCTGACTTCCTTTTAATAGTTTGGCTAGCAATTTCATGCTTTGGATGATTATATATTCTCTTGATTTTAAAGTATGCAATGATGTTAAGTACTAAGTTTAAAGAAGGATCTCTGTGTTATTTAAATATCTTAGATGTCAAATGATAAAACCATGGAGATCAAACAGATGGCCTGGATGAAATGTTGTAGCAATACAGTTACTTTGTTTGTTGCATTTTAGAAATCACAGCAGCTGCACCTGCTCTTGCACTTGCAGTTGAACATGGGGATGGCAGCGTGGATCTGGCCTCCGCATCATCTGTTCATGTGTTATTTTTTCTGATATGCAATATGCAATTTCTTAAAATGTATTGTTAAAATAAGTATAATTCATATGCAATATGCAATTTGAATTATTTTTTTTTGCTGAAAAATCCACTGTAGGGGCGGCTGGTGACACAGCCGCCCTTACAGAAGTCCACTACAGGGGCGGCTGATATTACCAGCCACCCCTATAGAGGGCACTATAGGGGCGGTTGAAAACACCAGCCGCCCCTACAGCGGGCACTGTAGGGGCGGCTGAAAACACCAGCCGCCCCTACAGAGAGCACTGCAGGGGCGGTCAGGAAACCGCCCCTACAGAGGCACCCTCTGTAGGAACACCCTGGGAAGGGCGGCTGGCGTAGCCGCCCCTACAGAGGCTCTAGAGCCGCCCCTACAGTTAAATTCTGTAGTAGTGCGAGTGGTACAAATTCAGGAGCCAAAAATGCATTTTGACTACTTTGAGGATTGCTGATGAACTTACTCAAACAAAAAGGCGCAATAATGGGCGTGCAAACATGATGAAGCAGATCGGGAGAGTAGAGAGAGAAGAGAGACGTTCATGCATAGTGAATTGGTGACGGACGTACCCCGGCGGGAGAATAGTTGTCAGGCCCTTGTTGCGTCTCCGTGGACGGCTGGACTGACATCACGCACGATGGGTTGGACGCCAAAGATGGGAGAGAGCCTGGAGAAATGGAGAGGGAAGAAGATGGAAAGATAGGAGAGGGAGTAGAGCTCGTCTTCTTTATAGAACACAACGCATGGCTCCAGCAGCTTGCTGCCTTGGTGGCTAGGCTAGCTCATACAGGCCATCCGATCTCCCATCTGACAGCAGGAGAAGACACGTTCGAGCTGCTGTCAGTGTTAGTGTCATAGTGTGTGTGTTCAAACTTCAAAGCCTCACCTCGCACTCTCTGTCTCCGATAAGGCGATAGCGTGATGAATTTCGTGTGCCTTTTCCTTCAACACAAAATGCCGATTTGACTCAAGAGAGAATAAATTGAAGTCAAGGAGTGTGCTGTGCCACTCACCGTGTGTGACCAAATTTCCTCGAACTTACAACCGCAGTCCGGTCGTTGTCTCATTGATGCTGAAACGATCGACTTCGTTCTGTCTGCAGTTTACTGGAGGGCCAAACGACGACGAAACGTGTTGACGGAAATTGTAGACAAGTCTGTGCTCTGCTGTCAGTGTCAGATTACCTTCGAGAAGGCGTAGAGGCTGGAGTAGCAGAAGCTGCGGAAACTGGCGAGAAGAAAGAGAAAGCCTAACACCAAGTATCTCGGTCCAACCTGGAAGCCCAAGTGATGCAGGCCCAACCAAGTTGCAGAGGAGGCATGTAAAAGGAGAGCACACGAAGAAGGGGGGGAGAAGAAACCCACGAAGAAGGCCAATCGTGTCCGGAGTGTGGTGTCCGGAGCATCTTGCCCCATTTCTGTAATCTCGAGAGCCAGATCTTGTAAAGACCACTTAAATTCTTCGTGTGATACAATAGAGAGAGTGATTGAGTGAAATCTCAGATCGACTAGAGCGGTGGGGTCTTTGGGATTCGGATGTCCAACGAGTTTGCCCTCGTCGGCGGAGACAGCAAGTCTGGTGGCGCCTTCGGACTTCGACCTCAGTACCAGTCTACCAGACTAGAGAGCAGAAGACGTTGGTGGCGATGGAAGATCAGATCGGCGACCTCAGAACGTTCCTCAAGGGGATGCAATCGTGGATGGATCAACAACACAACTCGCTCAAGGCGGCGTTTGATGCGAACACCTCGGTGCTACAAGATCTGTCAAACTAGAAGCCTCAAGAACAATCCAAGGTGGAGGATCTTTAGTCAAGCATTCAGCATCTCTGTATCAAGTTCGAGCGTCTCTTAGAGCGTCAAGCAGATGAGAATCTCGCTTTCAAGGTATTTGATATATACTACTACATAAATGATTTGTGAGACCGGCTCCTAGGATTTTCGGAGGCCGACACAAAGTCTACACGTCTCCTAAAATATGCAATGATTTTCGGAGGCACCGAAAAAATGACCGCCGCGGTAAATACATTAACGGAGGAAGTCCACTTACAAAAATGAAGGCCGTTTTCGGATGTGGGCCTCTTAACCGTTAAAAGACCGGAGGACCCAGAGACCAAGGAAGGCCCGTTACCTGTGTCACGTATATATACAAGAAAGCTAAGTGGATATATAGCTTGAACATTATTTAGTCCCGGTTGGTGGCTCAGTCCGAGACTAAAGGTTACCCTCTAGTCCCGATTAATTGAATGAAAATGCGGAGAAAAACTCCCTCAACTGCTTGGAATTCTTTTTCAACAAATACAAAGCACCATTTTCATTATCTACAAAAAATACAAAGCATGCACCACACTTTCATTTTCCGTTTTAGACATACACAAAAGCTAACATTCCCCTTAATATAAATAAGTACGAACAAAAACAACAGATACATGTATATGATCCGTTCAAAGCAAACTCCTAGGTTAGGCCATGACTAAGGGAAACTTGACATGTCAGGAACATTATTCATCACGTACTGGAACAAGTTTTAAGTTCTGTATACCATGGTGACATTCCCTTTTTGGCACGGCAAAGAACTCGCACTAGACATTATAGTCGGTTGCCGATTAGAGCATCTGATGCGAGCTTTTTGTCGTGCCAAACAAGAAGTTCGGAATCTCGTGGTACAAAATCCAAAACCTGTTCAGCTGATGATTAATGTGGCCTGAGACTTGTCAGGGTCTCTTTTGTAATTAGATAAACAAGGGGTTTGCATTGTGTTGGACAATCATGCATGTTTACTGGTAGAAATGGTATGTCTTGGCGCTAATAATGATATTCCGGAGTCCTCCAATCGGCGCCAGTACCATCAGAAGCACTCCAAGTATAATGCAGATCTGAAGAATAGGAGAGCACAAGTAAGTTAGACGACAACAGGTTAAGCTCAGATAAGATAGGGTGGATTATTGTCGGTTAGTTCTTACCCAATTGGCGAACCATGAGAGGCTGAACCTTTTGGGCTTGTAGATTGCGAGCCACATGATGCAGGGAAGCTGGCAGAAAAGAAAAAAAAAACAAGATTTGGTCAGCTCTCATGTTGTCATGCTACATTCTGAAACCCAAAACACAATTGGATAGTCGCAATCGACAGGAGCTTACGAAATAAGTTGTCGGCGCAAACGCGAATCCACCGAAGAAACTGAGCAATCCATCGAAAAAGGGAAAGGTGATGGCTATGAACATTGTGAACGCTGCACACATGTGGCATCTCGTCAGTCTTATTTGTTCAGAGTTTAGGCTGATAAAAAATAAAGCTGTGTTCAGGCAAAGGCATTACCAACATAGACGGTACGGGCAATCAGACGGAGCGTCAGGCCTGGAGGGAACCGCAGCTTCTTCACCAGCACCGTCTCCATCATGTCGAACACCGGCATCGCATAAATCTGTGCAGCCATCAATCATTCAGTTCAGAGATGGTGCAGTACCGAGTTCCATCATCTTCCATGTATACAACTATACATGCTTGACTTGGAAGTTGGAAGTTGGAAGACATATATATGTATGTACAATATGTACCTGGTAGCTGCCAATGACATGGATGACGGCCATCATGTTGGCGAGGGCGATGAGCCACTTGGGCCTGGAGAGCGTGACGAGGATGTCGCTGTCAACAGTTTTGCCAAAGGCCCAGTAACCGACGAATGAGACAGGGAAGTAGCACAGCGCGACGACGATGTAGGCGACGACGACGCCCTTCCACATCGGCTTCTTGGACGGCTTCTCCGGCGTCGACGGGATAGTGGCCTGGATCTCCAGCACCACGTTGTGCCCGGCGTAGGCGAACGCCACGGTCCCTAGCGCTCCCAAGAAGCCGAACACCTTCTGTGGTTTGTAAATAAGCAGCTTATACAAATCTTAAAAAAGAAGCTTTCTGTGGTTTGTTTCTCATTATTGATAAACAGTGCTTAAGACATTTTTCTCTTATTGATAGACAATTTAAGACACTTCTATACAATATTTACATTTTTAATTTGGGCCTCCTATATTGTTGCTTCAATTTTATACTGCAAACTTGAATCACTGGTGTTGTATATGTTCCAAATGAATTTACGCCATTATACTCCAATTAAAGCACCACTGAGGATATAAACATACATATCTAGCATTCTCATATCACTGGTGCAAACTTTTCGCTGTACAATGCATCATCCATGCATATATACATATGTGTGATCAAGCAAGGGGGAGGCAATGCAAGCATCCAAATTAAAAGCCAGCAGGGAAAGGTTGGTTGGTGTACAAAATCTATGTGTCCAGATCAGATAGTCACTACTTGCACGTTAATTGATCACAAAAAAATATGTAAAAAAACCCCGATGTAAAAAAAGCCAGCACTTATCATTTCTAGTATATGCAAAATCTTTTCTAATAACAAAAAATTGTGCACCACTTGAAATCCCGATGTATATATGTAGAACTCTAGTATACAATCAGCATATACATATTTAGAGAGCTAATAATAAGGCACTCGCCGGAACCGAATCGAGACCAAGATCAGGGGCGGCGGCCCCGAGAGAGCGCCGGGAAACCACGCAAGTCGAAAAGCGATCGATAGGGAGGAGATATGAGTGGGAAGTCATCTGGTGATGAGGGGCGGACTGACCTCTAACTATCGAGAGCCGGGATCGACGATCTGCGAGATCAGCGGAGGCGAGACGGCGAGGGGCGTCGAGGTCGGAGAGGATGGTGAGGATGGGGCAGGGGCAGCCGCACGACGAGGAGCGCTCCCAAACCTAGGACGAGGAGCCACACGACGGGCGCAGCCACACGACGAGGAGCCGCTCCCAAACCTAGGACGACGGGCCGCGCCGAGGAGCGCTCCCAAACCCTAGCCGCCGTCGCGGCCTGGGGAACGGCGGTTGGGGTCAGGGAGATGGTGGAGGAGGCGGTGGAGGGGTCAGGGAGGGGCAGGCGATGGCGGTGCAGGCACGGCGGTGCAGGCGACGACGATCTAGGCGCGGCGGTGCAGGCGGCGGCGGCGGCGAAACTGGGCAGCCTGACGGTCCAAGTGTGATTTCGCCCAAATCGATTTCGCCCAAACCGACGGTCACATGTAAATACCTCAGAGCCGCTGTAGGGACGGCTGAGGTTATAAGCCGCCCCTACATAGCCTCTGTAGGGGCGGCTGAGGTTATAAGCCGCCCCTATAGTTGAATTTTTTTTTCAAAATACCTCAGAGCCTCTGTAGGGGCGGCTGAGGTTATAAGCCACCCCTACAGTTGATTTTTTTTTTCAAAATACCTCAGAGCCGCTGTAGGGGCGGCTGATGTTATAAGCCGCCCCTACAGTTGATTTTTTTTTCAAAATTCTAAATCAAAATTAATTATTCACATGTAAATAATAAATAATATAGTACAAAATTTTATAATTATTTTTTATAGATATATTTACATATACAATAACTAAAACAACTACAACAGTTTAAAATTGCAAAATTGAACCATTAAAAATGAAAAAAAAATTAAATTTTAAAAAATTAAAATCAAAACTAATAAAATAATTTTGAGACACCAAATGATCTTTAATGAAAATTTGATAAACATCAAAGTTGTAGAGGTCATGAAGATCTACAGCTTTTATTTTGGTTATCTTGTCATTTGCCAAAATTTGAACCTTTTAAATTTGACATTTTAAAAAATGACAAGTTCGAACCAAAATTTGAGACCCAAAATGATTTCAACATAAAAAGTGATGAATACCAAAGTTGTTCAACTCATTAATATCTACGACTTTTATTTTAGTCATCTTATCATTTGATAAAATTTTAACCTTTCAAATTTGAAATTTTGAAAACCAACAAGTTCGAACCAAAATTTGGGACCCAAATTGATTTTAACATAAAAAGTGATGAATACCAAAATTGTTCAACTCATGATTATCTACAACTTTTATTTTGGTCATTTCTTTATTTGATAAATTCTTAGCACACATTGTTCACTAATCTTACACATATCTCATATAATTTATAAAACCTTATGAGAGATGTGTCACATTTGTGAACAATGTCATTACCACTTTGTCATATGAAGAAATGACCAATACAAAAGTTGTAGATCTTGATGAGTTATTCAACTTTGATTATCACTTTTTCAGCTGAAATCATTTGGGGTACCAAAATCTTGTCTGAAGTTGCATTTTTTTGAAATTCAAAATTTAAATTGTTCAAACTTTTCATATGTATATATTGACAAAACCAACAAAATATATGTATATATTGACAAAACCAAAAAAATAAATTGATAGAGAATTATTTTAGAAAATTTTAGGAAAAAATCATCAGATTTGAAGTTAGTATGAGGAAAAAAAACTAGTTACAAAGTTAACCCACAGATTAAAAAAAGAAATCACACTATTCACTATGATCATATAAGGATCATCTAGAACAGTGTGATTTCTCTTTTTAATTTTTGGGTAAACTTTGTAACTAGTTGTTCTTCCTCATACTAACTCCAAATGTGATGGTTTTTTTCCTAAAAATTTCTAAAATCATTATTCAGCATTTAAGTTTGATCAAACTTGGATGTGACAATGTTTTACACATTTTAAAATTTGAAATTTGAAATTTGATATTTCAAACCAAATTTTCAAACCCTAAATGATTTCAGATGTAAAAGTGATGAATACAAAAGTTGTTCAACTCATCAAGATCTACAAGTTTTATTTTGGTTATCTTGTCAATTGACTAAATTTAAACTTTTCAAATTTTGAAATTTGAAAAAAGACAAGTTGAAACCATAATTTGGACCCCCAAATCAATTCAACTGAAAAAGTAATGAATACCAAAGTTGAATAACTCACGGAGATCTACAACTTTTATTTTGGTAATTTCATAATTTAATAAATTCTTAGTACACATTGTTCACACAAACATACGTGAATGTGGTCTCAAATACACACACATAAATGTAGTTTCAAACACACATACATAAATATAGTCTCACATACATGAATATAGTCTCACACACACATACATGAATATAGTCTCACACACACGTACATAAATGTAGTCTCTCACACACATACATGAATGTAGTCTTATGAACACTGACACACTTACATAAACTAGCTAGCCCACCGTGACAACTTTTCTCTTAACACCTTTTCGTTCCCATGGCAATACATTTTTGGGCAGGTTCTTTTCTACAGCCTCGATCTTCTTACAAAAGTCTATGAATAGCGACATCTCATCACACTTATTGTAAGCTTCAACATCGTCCACGCCATCAACTCTGATGATATGTTGTTTTCCGGAGGCCACCACGTGCTTTGTCTTCTTCATTAGGGGGAGGTTACTTTACGGGTCAGGCATATAGAAGACTTGTGCGACACGTTCAGCGAGCACCCAAGGGTCATCCTGGTAGCCTACATTCTGGAGGTTGACGACTCTCTGTTCGATCTCATTGAAATGATGTTGCTTGATCCAGCGGCATCGAAACAGGGCCACCTTTATATCCCTTCCATAGTTAAGTTCCCATTTATCTTCAATTATGCCAAAGTACAGGACCTTTCGCCCCACTCCGTCGAGAGCCTCTATTCGAACGCCGCTATTCTGATTCACAGATTTCCTGTCCTTTGTGTCGGTATAGTATGTGTACCCATTGATGTCATAAGCATTCCAAGACGTCACCTGTTTCGATGGCCCGGCCGCCAACCGACTGATGGTAATAGAATCTATGGTTTCTCCAGGCTGTATGTTCTGGTCCTTCAACCATGATGTCAGGCGTTGCTTATGCTGTTTCATGACCCAATCATCTGAACGGCCATTCCTCTCGGCCATAATGATAGCCATGTGTTCATCAATGTACGGTTGCATCACTGCCATACTCTGCAAGACACTGTAATGCGTCCGACTCACCTCTCTGTAATCATTGTCGAGGAACACTTTCCTACCACTTGTGCCCTTCCCAGCTAGCCTTCCCTTGTGACGAGAATCAGGATTACCAATCCCTCTCTGTACTTTTAGCCACTCTTGGTAGCACTCGACGACTTCTTCGGAATTGTAACCCTCTATCATGGAGCCCTCTAGGTGTGTTCGGTTATGAACATATCGGCTTAGAACCGACATGAACCGCTCGTAGGACCACATTTCATGCAAGAAGCTAGGGCCCATCGCCTCGATCTGATGAACCAGGTGAATCATGAGATGTACCATTATATCAAAAAAAGCGGGAGGTAAACACATCTCTAGCTGGTTCTGGGTCTCCACCATGAATTCATGTAGGTTACTCAGCTCTTGCCTGCGAATCGTCTTCTGTGAGATCTTCGAAAAGAAGTAGCACATGCGGGTGATGGCCATCTTTAGGAACTCTGGCTTTATAGCCCTGATTGCAATTGGTAGGAACACTGTCAGCATCACATGACAATCATGAGCCTTGCAGTATGT